GTAGTCTAAGGTCATTAGGGTGGTGCACGATTTAGATCATCAGCCGTAGGTGTCGATTTCAACAGTCCCCAAACTTATTTGTGAACTGGGGCTTTATATTAAACAAAAGGAGAACTTAGAAACTATCCCAAACCGAACAACTCGGACAATCCAGGCGAGGCTTGGAGATTAAGGCATGGTACTAAAGCTTCGGCTACTAGTTATTTCAGGTTAGCCAAGCGGACCCAAGAATCAGGTGCGCAGGTTCCGTATAAGCGAGTACTTGGGGGTGAGTATATGACCATGCGGTGAAACCCTTGGCCCTTACGGAAGCGCTTGGTGGGCAACGCCAACGGATTCTGCAGTACTGAATATGGCGAACTTGCAGCGTGAAGCTGAAGGCTCTAAGGAACCCAAAGCCCCATAAGCCCTTAACCTCCTAAACTCCCAAAAACCCAAAAACCCTAAACCAGATTTGAGGCATCCCAAAATCGCCTGAGAGTTTGCCAGCATGAGCTTATCGACTGCGGGAAAAAGGACTCTTGTTGATGTTGTAGTCTTGAATATCTCCCTAAAACCTAAACCCTAAACCCTAAAAAACCCTAAACCCTAAATTGTGGGTTGGTGATGTTCGTATCCTGTTTGTGTTGAGCGGGCTCGCTTGTTGCTGTTGCAAAACACAAGTCGTTATCATCAGCTTGAGTTCCGATACTTGGCTCGGTGTCCCGGTAGCATGAAACAGTCTACCCTAAGGCCCCAAAGTAGTTCCTTTTTGGGGTTCGTATATAGAATCCTATGAGGTAATCCCAAAGGCCTATGGGTAGTCTGTATGCACTTCGTATTCAGAGCTGGTTCGTTTGGCACGGCTTGGCGTCTTTTCGGAAACTTCATGTGCCACCCGGCTTTGCTGGAGGCTCTGTCACGAGTTTCTTTGCCTAAGTCGAGGTATATGTGACACCTTTGGGTCGGCTCAGGAATTGTCCACTCGTTTCCGGCACTCGTGTTTCAAGATGGGGCCTCTGGCGTCGTGCTACGCGCACTTCTCCGCGCTCCGAACGACTGCTTGGGAACGCTGACTCTCCGTTGCAGAGCGAGGGTGTTGCTGTGTAGTTTGGTGGTTCAACCGTGTGCAACATGACTCATGACCTCAGGCACCCTGCCACCCGGAAATGGGTCCCGCAAAAAAGCTAAACTTAGGGAACGAAGCGGAAAAATCTCTCCCTGACTAAACCACACATGCACTGTAGTGCCAGGTGCCGGTCAGGAATGGATGGCTTTCATGACCTGGCTTCAGAAAGCTAGGGAAGGGCTTAGGGGTGTTGCCCCGTAATTCGCGAAGAAGAGGCCGCATAGGGTTAGATTAGACTTTGACTAACATCTGTCGCACCAAAACCCTAACAAAGAACTCGACAAAACCTTGATCGCCGACGGACTTGAAGGATTTTAGGCTTTCGAGAAATAAGGCAAGCGCTGAGGGATGCAAACGAAGCGCTTCACCCATCACTCCCTCCCCCGCCATCCCCCGCCCCCCGCACCCTATATACATCACAGCATAATGAACCCTCAGACGGCAAGAACCTCAAACAACAATCACATATATCTTGACCTCATGCACGACAAAAGCAGCTCACGCAAACTAGCGCGCCAGCCTTTACACAAAATATGACGAACCAGGCTTAGAGACTCAGCGTCAAGCAATGTCTGCAAACCATGTTGAGAAATCCAGCTCGAGCACGGTTTAGGGTTGAGGGTCTTAAATAGGTTGTCGAAGGCATGTGCACCACACAAGAGATGGGAAGAACCGTGGCACGATGAATGGGAATAAACTTGCTCAGTCAGGAACGCAAAACCCATGTGTTTTCTGACCTTGCGGTCCATCTCTCTACAGAAAGTGAAGACTGTTGTCCTGACCATGTCCTATGTGCAAATACTATCGCCATAATCAGAACCATAACCAGAATGATAACAACGCTGGGGGCGAGCGATGGTAATAGTAGTATCTCCCTCTCTCTCTCTCTCTCTCTCTCTCTCTGTCTGTGCCGTGCCATCATCAAGAGGATCGCAATGCAACGGGACCACTATAATGGTGATAAAAGTAAAATCATGCAAGGAATAAAAACAACACAATAGCAATGCCAATAACAATACTAACTCTACCTGGACCCCAAAAATATGTAGAATAACAGCGCTTTATAGGTTTTGGGCCATTATTTTACCTACTTCTGAGGGTCTAGTTACTTATCATGTCGGCCTCTACTCTCCTTGCAAAGCTTTCAGCTGCTGTGGCCTCAGACGGGGACACCAGCGCCGTGCCACGAGCTCGGTTAACCAAGCAGAAGACCTGAAACGTCTACTTTAGGGTGACTATTTTTCAATTAGGGTTTTTCTGGATTCATTAGGGTTGCAAAACGTCAACTTTAGGGTTTATATGGTTCAATTAAGGCTCTTTTCTTTTTGGTTGGGGGGGGGGTTGAAAAGGTTCGGGGCCCCAGACCGGGTTGTCGGGGCCGTCAGCTCTCCGCAAAGCTGCACAGGAACTCACCAAAAAATGATGCTGCCAACTGTTGCCTCTCCTGTATGCCCATAACTCAGCTTATCCAGGTAGTCCTGGTGAAAGAAGCTGCGCATGTAGGGTAGAGAAATGCAACATTGCCCTAACATCCTACAGTTCCAGGCTTTCACTCTAACCCCCCAAATCTAGCCCAAACGCCTGAAACGCCCGAAACTACCCGGGCGCGTAAACCGAGAGCCCCTCAAACCCGAAGCTGCCCCTAACAAGCTGTCCTTTGGTTATCATGTGAAACACGGGGCATACCTTAAACTACCAAACCCTACTTTTTTTGCAGGTTCTTATGAAAAAAACCCTAATATGGAATTTGCAGGGACCCTACAAAAAAGTAGGTTTTGGTAGGTTAAGGTAATCTGTAATCGGAGAAGCTGGAGAGGGTTTTCGTCGGGTCCAAAACTTTAACTGCAACTAAACCCCCAGAAACCCTGAAACCTCGAACCCGGACCCTCCTTGTACCCTCAAATAGGGGTATATGGTCCCAAATAAGGGGCATTTAAGGTCTAATAGAGGGTAGATGGAGGGTCTAGGAACCTTGCAGCCTCATGCTGCAATAGAAGGGCATTGATAATTAAAATACGGCTTGGGGCACCGAGAAACTCAAATTATTAGATGGAACCACCCGAAACTAATATAGGCAATTATTACGCCCGCTCCTACAGCACTCCCTGACCTGAATCCTGCGCCGACCGCTCCAAAGAACCCCTGAGTGCCATCACGTCGTGGGCCAAAAGCATCCCGCCGACTCCCTGAATCACAGCGGTTTAGGCTTTAGGGATTTAGGGTTTAGGGTTTCAGGGTTTCGGGTTTTAGGGTTTAGCGTTTGGGTTTTGGGGTTTCGGCGCTGGCACTCGGACAATCCAGGCGAGGCGTGTGGTTCGGAGTCTGATGAGCGAAACTTCACTTGGGGAATAGTCAAAGTTTAACCAACAATCGATCTGACTAACACATGAAGTGACTGTGTTCAGGGGTGTCGGTTTAGGAAGTTTAGGGTTTAGGGAATTCTGGTTTTGGGTTTTGGGGTTTAGGATTTAGGGAGCTTAGGGAGTTTCGGGTTCAGGGGTTGGTTGTTTGTTGATTTGGGAGTTTCCGAGATTTGGGGGCCCTAATACAGTAGGGTTGCTGATTATAAGGACCCCAAAGCAAGATACACTAATTAATTTTCGGAAACTCACATTTTTTTGCCCGTTGGGGCGTAGTCGTTTTGTCTCGCTTGCATCGATAACCGAAAACCCCGTCAAAACCAGCCAACGCAGGCACCAATCCATCCTAAATGGTTTGCTCAAGTACGAGTACCAGCACGTTGTTGAAAACCTAACAACTTTCAGGTTCGCTTTCTTGCCCTTTCAGGTTGAGGCCTTACAGTTTAGGTGGATATTTTTCTTAGCTGATCTTAGGATGCTTAAGAGCTTTAGAGGAGAATCGACGAAGTCAGCTGGAACCCAGGTTCTCCATGAGCCAGGCAGAAACCATTTTCGCACGCTGGAGATTTAAAGCAATGATCCTCAAGGGTCCACAGGGGCTACAGAACAAGGCGCTGGCAAGAGGGCTTTAAGGCTCTGTTTAGGGTTTAGGGACTAAGGGATGATCTGCTTCTTGGTACAAGCTTTAGGTCTGAGGTTGTCCTAGGTTTTCGAGTTTGGGTCTACGACATAAGCTCAGGGTCTGGTTGGTGTCTGCTTTGAAATCGGCAGCCACAGGGTGGCCTATGCTGATTCTTTCAGCTCTGAAAGCGTCTCGGCCTTACATTTGGAACCAAAAGCTTCAACGAAGTAATACAAGGACCTCCACAATAACAGGGGCAGTTTGATCTACATCTATGTATATGTGATTGCAATAGACACGTTTTGATTTCCAAGGCTGTTTTTGGCACCCTAAGGAATATTTTGCTTCATCATTCAGGCTCCTGCATTAGTCTCACTGTTGCTCCAATTCCAAGCTGGGTCTACACATCGCGGGTTCGGGTGTTTGCGCACACACACACAAACACAGAGACACATGCACAAATACTTGCCCGGGGTTGTTGGGCTTGTGCGGTAGTTATGGTTGAGGTTAGCGCCAGTGCTGCCCCTGCGAGGAAATGGACCCGGAGAGGGTTGATTCTTGGCAACAGGTCTTAAATTGTGGAGCTGCAATATAGGGGCCTTCGTCAAAAGTAGCGAGGAAATAGAATTGGCTTGGAGAGCATACTATACCATCCACGAATTCCAGAGGAATGGTATTACTAATCATTTGGGCCCGATATTTCGCTCCGGAACTTCCACAAGCAAGGATAGCGTGCCGATGTCAAAGCACGTGCATGACGCGAACCAAAAGGCTGTTTAAACTGAGACTGGATGTCGCCTCGGCGTCACAAGTGGCTCCTCCAGCCAGCAATGACCGCAATGACCCTAAACCGTAAACCCTACACCGCAAAACCTAAACCCTGAACCCTAGACCCTTAAACCTTACCTCCCTACTTGCGAAGCACACTTCTGTACAGCATCAGACCAGCGCAGGCACAAAGTCCCAGAATGCCGACCACCACTCCGTTGTAAGGATTGGAGCCGGTACCTGCATCTTGCACAATGGGTTTTTGTCCCTCCTACTTGGCAAGGACGATGGGGTTTAGGGTTTAGGGTTCGGTATTGGAGCCGGTGCCACAACAGTCTGCCCGTGGCCCCATTATGGCTGGTCAAGCAGTCTGATCATATTTGGGAGTTTCCGAAAATGACTGGTACCTTGTTTTGGGGTCCTTGTAATAAGGATCCTACTATTTAGCTATAGGGTACTAGATTAGGGTCCCCTATTTTCGGAAACCCCCATTTGTTTAACCATTGCTTGACAGAAGCAGTTCCACATCCTAAACCTGAATAGTGAACCTTGAGCACAGGATGTCCACGGCCACACCAGTCTTTGCTGACATGGCGCTGTGGTGGTAGTAGTCCGTTGCCAAGTGTCCTCAAGGTATTTTCAAGGGAGGCCCAAAAGGCATGACATTAACAGAGGTTTGACAAGCCTCCCCCACCTTGGTAAAGTTATACTAGTTTACTTCTTTGCAGCCCGGGAAAAGCTTTGTTCTAACTACTTAGGCCGCTTAATGACCGATCCCACGATCCTGAAATCTCAGACCTGGGTGCGACCCCGAATAACCTACCTGTTTACGCATCCTCAGCTCTGATTATTTCGAAGGATTCTTTAACAAGGTATGTTATTTAGGGTTAGGCTTCGTCTTGCTTGCACTTGTGTCCATGACAAGCATCGTGACCGTGAATGTTCCTTAAGCCGCAGACTCTTTACAGCCCCGACATTGCCTTCGTCGTGGAGTTGTTGGTTTTAAGGCTATGGAGATTGACATCAGCGTTTTGAGACCAAAGCCGTCTGATGTTGGATGCTTCGGAGGTATGGATTGGGGTTTGCATATGATTACAGGGCCTGAATCTGCAGAAGAGGGCATTGGGGTGTCAGGCATAATTACTTGGAGGGTCGAACGCTGAACCCAAAACCCTGAACCATAGACCTCGACCCCTAAAGCTGATCCCAAACCCTGAGCTTTTGAAACCCGAGAAGACCCCACCCCTCAACTTCCACGTCGATGGCAAGCTTCCCGTGCCGAAGCGTGCGGCCCATTCCTTGTGTGATCGCTCTAAGGCTTCATTTTGCAAGGGTTCCCTTAAGGGTTCCTTTCAGGTCCCAACAGGGCTTTGTAAGTGGTTCATGGGCTTGAAGTGTTTTATCAGGGTGTGTATGACGATTTAGGGTCTGGGCTGAGGGTATATATGTGGTAGCAGAAGTGGCCAAAGAGTTGGCGAGGCAAAATATGCCCGACACCCAAAGCCCTAACATGACAGCAAGAACAAAGGCTCCTTCCGCTTTTAGGCCGGTTGATAGGGGTCGATCAGAAGATATTCCAGACTGTCTTTTAGTCTAACAATGATGCTTTTATAGTTGGAATAGGTAGGCTCTTGGGGCATTCTTCACTATACTTATAGTAGGGAGCCCACGGGAAAGGTATTACTAGATTTGCCGACCCTAGAATTCCAGAACCCCTGCCCTTTCAAGAACCCTTAGAGGGAACGATAAGCCCTAAACCCTAAGCAACACTACTTAGAGGATCATGGGACTTAGTAAGTAGGTTATAATTGGGGTTATAAGTCCCCTAAGTGGGGTTATCCTAATTATAACCTACTTGTAACCTTACTTACTAAGTCCCATGAGCCTTTAAGTATTGTAGTAGTCGAAACGGAACTACAGGTTCTGCCTCCTGGGGACCTTGGGACTGCCGATATGCAAACTCGGGGTGTGGGGTTCCTTTTGTTGAAAGTGAAGGATGTACGGTTTAGGGTTTAGTGTTTTTTTTCTAGGGTTTAGGGTTTAGGGGTAGATAGGGTTTACGCTCTCGCAACTCGGACACTGCCAGTCGAGGCTTCTTTCGGGTTTAGGGTTTCCGGTCAAAGCTCTAGCCTAAACCGAAACCCTTGAGGGCACCTAGACACAAAGATCTCGGAGTTAATTTAGGTGCCTTATCAATTTGAATAAGGTTTTTGGGGCCCATTATTTTATGCTAGAACTCTAATATAATGGAGCCCCCACAAAAAAGTATAGGTAGATATCTAGGCCCCTATATTCTATTTAGGCCCCTAAATCCCTAAACCCTAAACCTTAAGCGCCAGGCCCCAAACCCTTAGACCCTAAAAGAATTAGGGCTTTCCACATGCAGCTCAGAATCGATCTGTGTTACGGCCGCCTCGGCTCCACCACTGGCACGGGAGGCGCGCATCAGCTTCCTTGGGTGCATGCATACGTTAATATATAATCTACAGCATATAACCTTTAACAAACATAATGAATATGTGACCTATACAATGCAAACTTTAATCTGCAATCTATAACCTTTGATCTGTAATAATATATATATATATATAGATATATATCATATATATATATATATATCATATGATATATGATATATACTGCTTTGTAACGCAATGCGACATACTACAATACGATATACTAAACTAAACTATGCTGTAATGCAAAATAAGTTATATAACACAACATAGGATCAAGTGATAATATAGCAATATACATATATACATATGTATGTGCGCAGAGCGAGATGGAGAGAGAAAGAGAGAGAGAGAGAGAGAGAGAGAGAGAGAGAGAGAGAGAGAGAGAGAGAGAGAGAGAGAGAGAGAGAGAGAGAGAGAGAGAAGCTCGGAGTCGTGAGGGTTAAGGGCCCCTTATTGAAACTCCCACAGCGTCGGGTTTCCTCGTCTCTCGGTTTTAAGCTTCTGAAAATGTTGGTGCGTATCGCATGCTCGGGCGGCCTTGGCTGCAAACTTCTCTGGGTTCTTGTTAAGGAATTCAGTTTAAGTTACCGTAATAGGGATCTATAGTGAATGATACCAGTACGGTTTCTTTGTTCTGGTAACTTCAAACCAGTTCTTGGCTTCTTGGGCTTTGGCCATCGAGAAGCGCAGCTAGTCGAAAGCTCCTGGGAAACTAGCGCTCCCCTTCAGTCGTACCTTTTTGAGCAGGGACTGCAATGCACACATGAAAGTGTAGTATAGGACCCTAACAGAACAATTACAATATAGTGCCTGTAATAGAAGGGTTCTACAAGGGTTAATTTTGGAGTTGCATAAGGGTGTAGACTTTCATATGTAGCATGAGTGGAAGTAATCAGCCGCCCGGAGATGTGAGGAAGGGCCTTACCAATAATTGAGGGTTTCTACACTACGACACTCTGAATAGACTACGAAAGCTCGAAACCTTTACCCTTTCGACTTTATATCGCAAACCTCTGGAACCTCAGCCCACGTTTGAATCCACGCATGATGCAGTAACCTCATTAACCATCTAAGTAGCTCGCAGCTGATTCATCAGCTTGCCATGCCAGAGTCTTCGAACTAAAGGAAACACTATAGAGCCCGAAGAACAACTTAAGATCCGTGCTTTCAGGACCTGCACGGTTATAAAGAGCTTCTCTTCCAAGAGTCTCTGCAACCTTCTTGTAAGACTTCTTCTGGAGGACCTTTGTGACGGCTTCGCAGACCTTGGCCAGATTCCCTGAGGTTTCATCGTCCTTTGGAGGTTTGGGGTTTAAGGATTGGGGCGTGGGCTCTAGAGTCACCTTGCGTTACAGTGTTTTGCAAGCGTGGGGTGGTTGCTTGCCTCCTGCATTGGTGGTGTTTCTTTGGCTGCCGACCATGGTGCCGAACTCGGTGAAGCCTGTGACCCTGATGCGTCGTGGAGTCGTGATCCACAGCAAGCAGTGGGGTAGTTGCGAGTACTTCTGATGAACACGCAGTTTCAAGAAAGCCAGTGTCTGTTGCTGCTGCTGGTTTCTGTTTGCAGCTGTTGGCCTTCTTTGCTATGAAACCTCCAGCGAACAAGTGTCACCTTCATTAGGACATCAGAGGCGGCGTGTCCAAACTTCAATTACCTAGAGGGTGACACCCACCCCTTTCTTAGGGTACCTAACTTTATGGTTAGGACCCCCTATGAACAGTATCTGATAAAGGGGTACATAGGGTCTGAGCCTACAGGTCTTAGTGAGCCCAGAGCCCCAAACCCCAAGACGCTGAACTCTACACATGAAGACCCAAAGCCCAGAAGAAGCCCGAAACCCCAGAGACTGAACGCCGGCCCTAATCACCAAAAGGCGACGAAACGACCGAGGGGCAGTGTCCTCCGTTACCCAGCCTGGGTTCTTAGCCAGCAAGAAAAATCATGCACTCTGTACACATTCTAGATATGTAGGTATGTAGGTAGGTAGGTATGCATGGACACACACACACAGAGAGCTTTTATACATGCACGCGTATACGCGTACGTACGTGCGTAAGTAGGTATGCCAAGGTGTGTATGGTGTATATATATATATATGTGGGCCACAAGCCCCAGGCCCTGTAGTTCCCCCTCACAAAATCTAGCAGCTCCCTGAGGCCCCTACTGAAAGGGTCCTGGGATTTAACAGCAGTAACAAGAGTTATAAGCTTCGTGCCTCTAGAATCTGAAACCGCAAAGAACCTAAGAAGAGCCCGGCAGCCCTCTTTGTAGGGGTTGCCGTGTCCTTCGCCACCCATCGGAATCCGACCTATGAGCTCTCCGACGCCGGCCTCACAAGGGAGAAGCTTCCGCACTTTGGGTATGGTTTTGGGTTTAAGGGTTTAGGGTTAGTTTAGGAAGGTTGATGGAGTTCAGTGCTTTCTTGCCTTGGCGCGTATAGGGGGTTTGAAATTTGGGGTTCAGGGCCGGTACGTCACATCCACCTAAACCCAACAACCCGTGTGGGTTCAGGGGTAGTTGAGGACTCTACTAATTCTGTTTCCCCTGCTCCAGCTCCATATCCCAAGTCAAAGCCCAGCCCGTCTACACCTGACGACATAGAGTTACGAGTCGTACGTCTCAGTTGTAGCAGTCTTTGCATGACGAACTTGCTATCGGTTCTAAACCTCCGAAACCTACGGGCAGAGACGGGGACACCTTGAAGCACCCAGAAACCCGGGTCTCGGGTGAAGGGTGTACTCTGGGTTTCGGCGCTCACACTCGGACAAACCAGGCGAGGCATATGAGTTCGAGTCTGCAAAGTGAAACGACACTAAGAGGCTTCGTCACTACGTCTCAGCAACAAAGGCTATCAACACATAAAGTGACTGTGCCTGCCTGCGAAACCTCTCCTTGGAATCCAAGTTGAAGCAGCAAGGACATTCGGACTCCAAGGTAGTAGATTCGGCAGATCGCTCAGGGTCAGGGATATAGGGATCAGGCCCTACAATGTTTCAGGAATGGTATTCAATAGTAATATGCTACAAGGGAGAGCCGGGTTGGCTCAGGCACTGCGATCTGTTGTGGGGATCACGCACTTGACGATCCCTAAAGTCAGCTTATTACCGACGTTACGAGCATCTAATTCTGACACCATCGATGAAGGAGGTGAAACTGTTGGAGTATGTGGAGTAACCTACATATGGTGCGACGATTGGACTCAACCGAAAAGCTTCATCACATAGTCATAGAACGACGAAATTACATTGCAGTATGATGATCCAATGCTTGAGATCCCATGCTTAACTTTAAAACAAATTCTGACATGCACCCCTCAGTGTATGAATTAGCTCACTAGATGGTGTCTGGACATGATTGAATGCAACGCGAACATCGCACTCAATCATATCCAGTCACCTCGTGGGAGACAACCCAGCTCGTTCACAGATCTGTCAGAGCAGCCAATACCGGCGCTAATGGCAAGAGCAGCAGAGTGGGGACGCAGGTTGGTATGAATTCAGATATGAATTCAGAACGTATCCTCAAAAACTCTTCATGCAATCTCAGCAGGCATATAGTGTAGGGCAACTGACCATCCTCCTCAAAACTGATCTGTTCAGCCATGTCTTCCCATGTTGTGCTTACCATCGTGCAACAAATTCAGGAGAATATGTCCGGCAAAGCGTTCCTCATACAGTTGTCCATAGGCGAAATCGCCGCCATGGACTTGGGAAGGCATCGACCACGTCACTGAGATTCCTGCCTCATGCAAACCAATTCCAGAAAACCAGCAAGGTTGTTCCACAGCGAGAGGTCAGAGCAGATGCCTTGATCAACGGTCTTTCTGCCCATATTTATACACCCAGCATGTAGTGTCACATGTTCAGGCTGTTTTGTCACTTGGCAGCTGAGACCATGCAGAGTTGTAGATGTTTGGCAGCGGAGGCCATGCACATGCAGTGATAAATTCCATACAGTCCAATCATGGTGCAGCGGGGCCATGCAGGTGCAGCTGTGAATGCCATACACTCCATCATAGGTAACAAACATGCAGTGTCGCCGTCACGTTAGGCCTGCAGAATTCCATGTTTCCGCGCGGGCGCGGGGTAGTGGTTTCTTAAGGAAAACCCGTATAGCACATAAAGAACCCATGCAAAGTGTAAACAACATAGGGAAGACTAAGGCTAGCCACCAGATATTAAAAGGAAAAGGATAAAACATGCTGAAGTGGGGGTTTAGTGGGAATAGGGATACAGTGGGCTTGTAGTATGAAAAGTACAGCAGAGTAAAAGAGTTACAATAGAAAGCAGAAATCCAGGGACCCCAAGAAAAGACCCCACACAAACCAGGCTATCCTGGGAGCGTATCTTGCACACACTCCTGCTTTCTGTGAAGTAGAGATTATGCCCCCACGACGGCGTCCATGGGCCAGGGCAGTGTGGCTTGGGAGTCAGAGGTGTATGAGTCTACTTGGGTGGGCCTGGGGCGCTTATCCGGGTGTAGAGAGTGAGCAGGGTTGAAACCATCTGAGTGTGCTGCAGGGGGTGGTTCAATGGTTCTTGTGTTGTTTGCTAGATCCTCTTCGCTATCACTAAGCACCAGGGTTACTGGAAGACCCTGTTTGAGTTTTCCCACCCCCCATACTTTACGTGATGAACTTCTTGGGAAATCACACAGGGTAGTTTGTCGAAGCTGCCCAGGGCCCATTAGTACTCTAGAGTAGAAGTCAACCTCTAAGCTATCCGGTGTAATAAAGCCTAGGGAGTTGAGGGCACCGTCGAGTTCCTTAGAAATGCTAATGGATCCCATGACTGTAAAGGAAACTGCTACCACTCGTCGGTTACACCAATCTTCAGTGGCATGAAGGAGCCTTTTGCCTGTGAAGATGAGCGGGGCCCCACAATCAAAACTGTGCAAGGAGCCCTGAAGGATTCCTCCCATATAGTCTTTTGATACAGTGCCTGAAGGGGATTCGACCCAAATTTCCCCCCCTGTGAAGTCACTTAAGGCAATAACCGCTTGTGGATAGTGAGAATTCCGAAGATCCCTGTGTAGCCCTTTACCCGCAGAATCCCGAATAGCGATAGTTGAGAACTTATGGTGAGGGGTAACCAGGTGGAAAAGGCTACTAAGTTGACAGGCTAAATATTGTAAAGGGGCTGTTGCAACACAGAGGCGTGTTAGGTCCCGAGGATTCAGTCCTAGGGTGAGTGTGTGCCCCGAGCCTTCCGCTAGCTTGTATTTTGCAGGGGCATCGTCAAATGCCTTAAGGATCTGCCTCTTTAGTTCAGAGACCTGTTGGGTAGGATCGGGCATGCAGGGCGTGGGTTCGGGGCTGGCTTTACCTAGAAGAGCCATCTGAGCCACACTTTCACATTTCAGGCGGAATACTCCAATTAGTTTGGGTACCAACATGCCGGGTAAGAAGTTGTTGCGAGGAAGATGTAGGGTCCGAGGAGGGGGGAGGTTCAAGGTTTGGAGTAGGGGGCATAAACGACCTAGCAACTATTACTGAGGTTTCATAGACTTGTCGCTCCATCCAGACTACCCAGTCATGTACTTCCTCTCTCGTATGGGTGTGTACATTATCCGCTACAGGGTCCGCAGAGCTGTCTAGCCAATAAGGAGCGCATTCCATAATGGCATCGTGAACAACTACAATGCCATCTAAAGGGTAGGTATTACGCTTCTGTGCAAACCTAGAGTACAGAGAATCCGCAGCTACCCTAGCCACTCCAGCAGGCATACTCTGCAGTTCACGTCTCAGTCTTTGTTTCAGTTCAGCCTGCTCCAGGGGCATTGCTTCCAGTTCTGCACATGCGCAAGAAGCTTGAGGCTAAAGGGGTCTCTGTGGATGCATCAGACGAAAGTGTGTTTCTGGGGAGAGCGGTTGTTCATTAATGGGGTCTTCGGGATTGACAAAGCATACCCTTTCACTTCGAAGCCGCGGGTCTCCTGTAGGCCACAGATAGGGAAGATTCCAGTTGGTGTGGATACCAGAATAGCAGTCTAAGGTGTGGTAAACACGCATGGAAACACGTTCAGCCCAAAGAAAGATGCGGTTATTGTCGTGAATACTAATAGTTTCTGGTCTATCCTGTTCATGTGCAGCAAGCGTACTAGAAATAACATCCATGAGGGTAGCCCAGTATGACCAAAGGACAGACCCACTGTGCTGCAAAGGAATCATGCATCGCATTTTCCTGAAACGAACCAAGAGCCTTGAAGCAGCAACATAACAAAGATCCGGAGGGTACTGCAGCAACATGTTTTGGACTTCGAGGCCCCAAATACACTCCCTACTGAGCTCCCAAGGTGTAAGGACATCCGAACGGGGACGGAGGTACATGGTTCAAGATGATGAACTGCTAGTATTGCTCGAGCCCGATACCACAGGTGGACTGAAGGCCTTGTGAACACAGCAGAAACGGACGGTGCACTCTTTCATGAATTAAGGTCACACTGCGCCATGCATGTATGGATTCCTTGCATGTAATGGTGCACAAATTCAAACATCCTAAATTCGAAACAATGCATATCTTGCATAGAGGATGGGGAGAATTAAGGGAGGGGAGGGAAAGTAGTGCCTAGTAATACTGCCGATTGTGAGGTCTGGGGCCCTGGCCACGGGGTCTATGAGCAAGCCTAAGGGTGAAAGGATACGGGCACTGCGGGTCAATGGCCTCTTCTACAATATTGGCGAGATCGCAGGCTAATAAAAAGGATTCATCCAGAGAGTAAAACAAGCATTGCAGGATAAAATCCTGGGAATCTAATCTATGGCGAATCAAAGAACATAACCTGTGAACCTCTGGGATGGCATCAGAAAGATCAGCCTGCAGATCAATAACTTCATTGGTGAAGTCATCATGCAAATGAATTGCCTCCGATGCTATATTATGAAGGTCTTTCATTTCGGTGCTCAGCTGAAGGATGGACCTCCGGATCTGGTCCACTTCGTACTCCATTTTCCGCAGGCGCGTATCAATCGCTGGCAGCAGTGTGTGGGTACGCATTGTCCCAAGGAGGGCTTGTACGTGCAATTCTAGAACCGGCAGTTTATCAAGCTCTTGCAGGCGGAGCTGCATGGCCGACAGCATAGCAAGTTCCGATTCTTGCAGGTGCAGGAGGCGTTGTAGCTGATGAAGCACAGGTCGTATGTGTCTATCATAAACAAGGCGCAGTCCCCACGTCAGTGCCCACGCGGCCCCCAAAAAGGGTAAGAGCAGTATCGGGTTGCGTACAACGGTGTCCCACATGGCTGTGCATATACATGAAGAGTACACTAAACTGATGAGCCAGGGCTACATCGTGACTCGTATTGTGAACCTTGGTTCGCAAACAAAAGCAT